GCCTTGTTCAAGCTTTGGCTTCGGGGTCACGACGCCCTTTGACAGCCCGGGTCACTGTCTTCCTCTCCGTGCCTAGACCACCCACTGCCCGGACGGGCCAGGTTGTGACTTTTAAAGGACACGCTCTGCTGTTCTTATCCGAATCCCCTGCCCTTGGAAATAACCCAGCCAGGTACACGAAGTGAATTCTGCCCGTGTCGAGTCCGTCCGTTCTCCCGACGCACGGACGTTCCTTCCGTGTCTAACGCACAGGCTCCCTGCCCGGCTGGGACAGGACGAGGGGGAGGGAGGGGGTCAGGGCTGCGGTGGGCGGCAGCGTCCCTCAGGGAGGTCCCCGCTGGGGTGTGAGTCTGGAAACAGGACTGACTCTGGAAGGAAAAGTACCATTTCCCCTAAAAGCGTGGAGACCGGCTGCCGTCCATTCCTCCGAGGGTGCGGGAGACACCCCGAGGACCCGCCTGGTGTGTTGGGCTGTCGGGGTGAACAGAACATCAGCGCAAACACGGCCACACGCAGGTCCCCGTGGACGTGGGCCGATGGGAGGGAGGCCCTGGCGAGCCCTGCGGGGCCCGGAACATGCAGACGGCACGGCTGCTGGGGCCGCGTGGTTGGCTCTGGGCTGGGCCCGGGCAAATAACCTTCCCCATGTGCTCGGGGAGGCCGTGGGCCCTGGGGAGACCGGGGTTCACCCCCCTGTGCTCGGGCAGGCCGTGGGCCCTGGGGAGACCGGGGTTCACCCCCCTGTGCTCGGGCAGGCCATGGGCCCTGGGGAGAGGGGCTCCGGGGTTCACCCCCCTGTGCTCGGCAGGCCGTGGGCCCTGGGGAGACCGGGGTTCACCCCCCTGTGCTCGGCAGGCTGTGGGCCCTGGGGAGAGGGGCTCTGGGAGCCACAAGAACTAGGCAGGAACATAAACAAGCGGGTGGTTTTGAAGGGTTTCTCGTCGCCCTGGTGACCGTGGCGGCGATGGTGCCTGCAGGACGCTCTGACGGACGGATGTGGCCGGGCCGAGCGGACGGACGGGAAAGTAAAGGAAGCCGCCTGCGGGTCTGTCTGTCGCCGCCCGTGACCAGCGGCACCGGGACTGTCTGGAACCCTGGGAGCGAAGCAGATTGAGAGACGACACTCGGGGACAGGCTAGGTGGGCAGGGTCATCGGGGGCTCGGGGAGAGGACACGCAGGCGCTGGAGGAGGTCACCTCGATGGGGTGGCCTTGCTGGGCCAGGTGACCCCCACACGCCCCGGTCACCGAGCTGCCTTGCCGGGTACACACCCCTGTCTTCTCGCAGGCGACAGTGACGTGTGTCCGTGAGCTCCGCCACCTTGAAGGAAGGGCTGGAACAAGACGCCTTTCCGGGAGCTCCCTTCTCTGTCCACCTGAGGACAGTCTCACCGGCAGGCTGGCCCTGTCGCCGAGACAGACACGGAAAGGCGTCGGCTGGGGAGCAGCAAAGGACGGACTCGTTCCCCTGCAGGGGAGCCCCGTCACCCCACCACCCCGAGACAGAGGACAGACCCACAAAGCACGCGCGTGGCCCGTGTCATCAGGGGCCCGGCCGATTTAAAACCCCAGCTGGGCATCCCGCCTCCCAGACTAATCTTAATTGCATCCCTCCCGCTTCCTAATTAGTGTGAACCCCAGGCATGCAAATTCATCCTCACATTAGCCCGAGGACAACGCAATTAAGAAGTCGCTGGTGGAAGAAAGAAAAAAATGCGTAATGTATTCCAGGGCCCGACCCAGGTGCCTCGGGGGCGCTCCTGTTCTGGGCCCCGGGCTGGCACAGATCGTCAGACTGCGCCCCCACCCGGCGCTGGGTCCCTGTGGCCTCCAGGTCAGGAAGGGGTGCGGCCCCCTTTGCAGTCCCTCTGGGGGCTGAGGCCCGAGCAACACTCCCGTTCAGGTCCACCCACTTCGCAGCCCTTTGATGTGGGTTCAGCCTGTGTGTCGGTTCCACGCTAATCCAGTTAGCTCCTCATTTCCACGTTCCGTCCTGGCTCCTTTGACAATTGGACATGGCTTCCCCTCGGTGACAGGCGAGGCTGGCAGCCATGTGGTCAAGGCTTCCGGCCCAGGTGCCCCTGGATTCGAGGAGCAAACACGCAGGACGCAGAGGCCCCACCCGTGGACAGACTCGCACCCTCGCGCCGGGTCCGCCCGCTGCCGTCTGCAGGGACGGTTGTCGGTGAACTGTGGTGGGCGGAGGAGGGTCGGTCCCAGGTGCGCGGGGTGCTCCTCCGGGGTCCCTGTCATGTCGGGTGAGGAGCCTGAGTCCGCAGTTTCTGCCAGGAGTGTCCTGCTTGAGAAGGTGCCCACGTCAGCCCGGCCGTGTGACCCAGTGGGTGGAGCGTGTCCCATGCACTGAGAGGTCCCGGTTCGATTCCGGTCAGGGCACGTGCCCGGGTTGTGAGCTCGATCCCCAGTGGGGCGTGCAGGAGGCGGCCAGTCGATGTTTCTCTGTCTCCCTTTCTCTCTAAAGAAAATCAATAAAAACATTTTTATAAAGATGTGCACTTTGGTTCCGGCTGTTTGTGTCCCAGCACAGCCTAGGAGGCTGTTATGTGGAAGCCGGGGGGAGGGGATGGGAACCCCGCCCCCAGGCACAAACCCCAGTGGGTTCCTTTCCGTTTCTCTAGGGCATGTTTGCCTGGCAGACCTGGGGTCACGGGCTGCTGGCACAGGGAACCCCCCGGAGCAGTCAGTGCGGTAAACAGTCTGAGCCTGACCCCACCGCTGAGGACGTCGGAGGGCTGGGTTAGGGGCTCACCGAACTTAACAAATTATGGTGAACACTCAATTCAAAAAATAAAATAAACACGGCCCCAGGCTCTCCCTGCGGTCAGAAAGCCCCGAGGGGATTTCTGTAATTCTGTCTAATCCGTTTAGGGGGTTAATTAAACAGCCCTCACTTAGCTTCTGAATTCTGCAACGTGAAGCTAAACACGTGTGGGAACCAGTTGCGCAGAACCGCCGGGGCTCGGTGGCGCCCGGGATTTCTTTGGGTGGCCTGTTTCCGGGCAGCCGGTGCTGAGCCCGTGAGGGGACAGCACGTCCCGAGGCCCAACCGGAAGGAGCCTCGCGGGGGGGGGGGACCCGGGCGCCTGCACCCAGGGCCGTGCATGGAGCCTCCTGAGCCCGGTTTCCTCTTGCGGGGGGCATGGCCCCAAGAGCCCACACGTGCACCCGAGGCGCCTGGCCGTGTGGAGCTGGGGTGCAGGGGGCAGCAGAGACGGTCCCTGACCTCAGAGAATTGGGAGCACACAGAGACGGCAGGGAGACACCCCGACACCTGGGTCACGAGTCCCCTTCCAGTCACTTCTCAGGGCGTCAGCCACACTGTCACACGCTCGCCAGCCCTCCTGAGGGGGCTTCCTGCTCCACCACCATCCTGCAGACGGCCTCCCTGAGCGTCTCCCCCACATCGTAGATAATTCCTCTTGCTCCCCACCCTTATCCAAAGCAGCCCCCCCCAGGCAGCAGGAAGCGGGAGCACACTCCGTCTTCGCCCCGTCTCCCTCTTGCCGTATCTGCTCCCAGAGTCAGTGGAATCCGTTGGACCCGCAGAGGAGAAGAGTGTTGGAGCAAACGCGTAGGCCGCGCCGTGGAAGCCCAGGAGATGCCATGGAGGCCCAGCCACGCTGTGGAGGCCCAGGAGGTGCCGTGGAGGCCCAGCCACGCCATGGAAGCTCAGGAGGTGCTGTGGAGGCCCAGCCACGCCGTGGAGGCCCAGCCGTGCCGTGGAGGCCCAGGAGGTACCGTGGAGGCCCAGACACGCCGTGGAGGCCCAGGAGGTGCCGTGGAGGCCCAGGAGGTGCCGTGGAGGCCCAGCCGCGCCGTGGAGGCCCAGCCGCGCCGTGGAGGCCCAGCCACGCTGTGGAGGCCCAGCCGTGCCGGGCAGGATGGCCCAGACCGTGAAACTCAGGCACAGTCCAAAGCGGTCTCATCTCTCAGGAAGACGTGACGGAAGTCGTGTGCTACTGTTTCCAAAGGCCAGCCAATGAGCTCGCTGTGAGACCGGTTCCACGGAGGAGATGTGACATCTTCCATGAGACACGAGATGGACACGGAAGCCGGCTCCGTGACATGAGGATGCTCAGTCCCCCTGGGCTGACGACTGTGTGTGAGAATCACATCGGAAGACTCGCAGTCCTGCCCCTGGGCGCGACGGGCGGCCCAGCAGGTCTGGCACCTGCCTGCCGGACCCTCGGTGGCGGTTAACCACGGTCGGCCGCGCGAGGGACTCGCGGGGAAACCCGGGCCATGCCTCCTGGGGCCAGGACGGGCGTGGCGCGCGAGAATTGAGCCTCGCGGACTAGAACTCGGAAATCTCGTCATACAGACTGTGGGTTATGCGGGGACTTGGATCTTGTGATCAGAGGAGACAATCCCGACAGACGCAAGTGAGACCCACTTCTGGGTCCTGGGCCTTGGTTTTCCCCATCTGAGAAATGGGCTCGTAGGACCTCCCTGGCACTCGCCAGCTCAGGAGCCACGGGAATTCTGTGACGGGAACTGCAGAGGCGGGGTGCCTGGGGCGGGGGCAGAGTGAGGGCAGATGCTCAAGGTCGGGAAGCCGCCCAGGGCCAAGAGGGGACCAAGAAGGGGGGGCCATGCACGGCGGAGCCAGAGCTAGAGGGCCGGGAGGCAATGGTGTGGGTTCCAGTCGCTTCCCTGTTGGGCCCCTGTTTGTGGTCCCACTTGCGTTGACCGGAGGTCACTGGGAGCTGAGTGAGGTCACTGGGAGCTGTGTGAGGTCACTGGGAGCTGTGTGAGGTCCCGGGACGCTGTGCGTGTGCACAGGTGAACATCTGCGATACCAGTGACGAGGTCGCTGCGCCCCCCATCCTCCCTGCAGAGGTCTGGGTGGCGGCACGTGGCCCCTGGTGCAGAGCCCTCGGCTCGAGGAGCTGAATGAAGGGCCGGGTGACCAGGTGATGTGCGGGGAGCTGGGAAGGTGGCCACCCACGGAGGGACGTCACGGTCCTGTGCTTGGTCTTGCAGGAGGCGGAGATCCTGAACACGGCCGTCCTCACGGGGAAGACGGTGGCCGTGCCGGTGAGGGTGGTCTCCGTGGAGGCGGACGGCACCGTGTCAGACCCGCTGACGTCCGTGGACTGCCGATCGTCCAACGAAGACGTGATCAAGGCGAGTGACACCCCACCCCCACAGAAACCTGCTGACAGGCTGGGACCTCGCAGTCCCGGGCCCCTCCCCTCCCGTCTGCGTAGGTCCCGGCTGTGTTCGGAGACAGAAGATGCAGAGCCGCCAGGGCAGGCAGGTCTGGGTGCCACCTGCTGCCAGCGTCTTCCCAGCCCCTGGGGAGGTGGAGGTGGGACGTGGGGACCAGCACCCCGATGCAGGCTCCTGTCCCCCCACCGCCAGGCCACGTGTTGTGGGCTGTGCGGACACACGCCCTTCACCTGACCTGTGTGGCGCCCAGCCCTCAGAAAGCTTCTGGAAGGTCCTGGGACGTGGCAGCCCCAGATGCTGAAAGCTGAGGGGTGCCCCTCCAGGTGGTCGGGGGGCGGCACCAGCGTGTTCGCCGGGATGGTACAGTTGTAAACTGAGGCAGCGGCGGGTGTGGTGCAGCCTCCTTGGCGTGAGCTCGTGGGTGTCACGCTTGACGTGCTTCCCAAAGCCTGTGAGACAGACGAGGACACGGGGCGCTAGGTTCCGGGTGTCCGACGGGGCAGAACCTGGCTGGAGCCCGGCTCCTCCAGCACCGCCCTCCTCCGGGAAACAGGACGCCGGCTTCTGGGGCCCAGGTATGGCCGCGGGGGCGGTGCCGCAGCTGAAGTCTCTGCAGAATCCCCTCGGTGAGGGGACAGCCTCGCCCTTCGAAACGGGAGGACCCTGAAGTGGACGAGAGGAGCTCGCCTTGGGCCCCGCGACCATGCTGGGGTGGGGGCAGCTGGTCAGCTGGAAGTGAGTGTCCTTCCCAGAGACTCCGTCAGTGCGCCTGGCACCCAGCACTCACCCCGCACTCACCAGATCGAGTCACCGAGCGCTTCCGTCTCCCTCCATAAGCGAAGGGCAGTCTCGTCACCTCGCTGCGAAAGGGACATTAGCGAGACAGGCCGGCGGAGCGGAGAGGAAGGCGGAGCGCGGAGGAGGGTGGCATCGGGCATCATCGTAAATGCGGATCACGGGAGAAGATGCTCCAGGCAGCCGGGAGCCAGAGCCGGGGTGTTAAAGGAGCCCCTCGGGCTGGAACCCCGGGTGAGGAGCAGCCTTTGGAGGGCAAGACCCACCCAGACAGAGCTGCTCAGACTCCAGGAGAAGTCGTGTGTCGTGGGGAGCGTCCCGTGTGACGTGTGGGGGTGCGAATCAGCGAGCATGCGCCCTGCACCTCGGAAGTCGTCCTTGTGAAAGCACAGCCCACTTGGAAGACTTGGGGGGACTCGCGCGCGTTGACCCCATGTCAGCAGACACCTCCCGGCTTGTGCGCTGGCTCCACGCTGAGGTCGGCCCGTCTGCTGGTGGATGGGTGGCCGCCTCCAGGTACCTCCGGCCGGCTGCAGACCCCGTCACCTCTCCTTTTGCTTCATCCTCACTCGAGGACATTTTTCCATTTTTTGTTCAGATAGAGCAGGAGAGAAAGAGAGAGAGAAACATTGACGTGAAAGGGACACATCGAATGGCTGCCTCCTGCACGACCCAACCAGGGCCGGGGACAAACTGCAACCGAGGTTCATGCCCTTAGCAGGAACCGAACCCGGGTCTCTCTGGACCGCAGGCCGACGCTCTAACCGCTGAGCCAAACCGGCCAGGGCAAGGGTATTTTTATAAGACACATCTCTGTGTCAGACCCACTTCTTGTGGCTCAGTGGTTGAGCGTCGACCCTGCACCAAGAGGTCGCCAGTTTGATTCCCGGTCCGGGCACATGCCCAGGTTGTGGGCTCCATCCCCAGTGGGGGGCATGCAGGGGGCGGCCGATCCATGTTCTCTCTCATCGATGTTTCTATCCTTCCCTTCTTTCTAAAATCAATAAAGAAAATAAATAAATAAAAATTTACATTACAAAGAGGGTTCACAGCTTCTTGTACACGACGCTGTCTGGCAGGCTGACCTCTGCTCCAGGCTGGTGACCCGACGGCCACTCTGTCTAGCTCGTGCCTCACCCATTGTTTATGTTACCTGCCCTCCAGAGCCGTTTGAGTCTGCGACCCCCAAGTTACACTTAAAAGTTTACCAAGAAGTTCAGAAACGATCATTTCCTTGAACAGAAGGGAGCTGTATTTGTGGCTGAAAAATGACAGGCCAGTGACACCAGAAACAAAAACAGAACCTACCGCAACGTGAGAGTCGGATCCCGGTTCTGCCGGGGCCGCTCAGCATGAGCAGGTTGGTTTTCTTGCTCCTGTTCATTGCCTCCTGGGTGCAGGGCAGCTGCCACGGCTCCAGCCACGGTCTCCATTCCAAGCAGGAAAAAAGAAGAAAGCAGGAAAGGGGGGCACAGACTATCAGGAAACAAAACATCCCCAGACCCATCGGCTTAGTACCCATTATCTAGAAGGCATTTGTGCCACCTTCACGGGAATTTGGGAAGGTGGACACTCCGTGGCAGGCCACACCATAGAGGCAGCAAAGGGTGAACGTTGCGTACAAGATGAGGTGCGTGTTGTGGACTGTGCTGTCACTAGGACCTGGGTTTGAGTTTTTAGTCTTTGTCTCTCTTAGTCTTCCTGACATCAATTTCTCATTTGGTAAAGGATGGTCGCATTAGCACCTACGACAACGTTTTCATGGGACTCAGTGAGCTGGTGACCACGAAGTAACTTACCCAGAACCTGGCACGTGGTCGGCAGTCATGAGAGGTGAAGTTCCAGCATCTAGTGGTGATTCTGGGTCTCGAACCCAGTACCTGTTCCCAAATATCAGGCTTTTAGCCACCAACAACCTGTCGGCCTGCTGAGTGACAGGGTCTCTGTCCGTCCCTGGGAACCTGCCTTGTAGAATCCAAGGGCACAACCCTGTCCCTCTCGGTGTGAAATTGCAGGGAAGAACACAGGCTGCCCGTGGACTCCAGTCATGACCTACAGGTAACACGGGAATGCCACCCTCTCAGAGTTCCAGCTTTCTAACTGTTACATGGGAACAATCATATAAATTATACATCAGTCCAGTGGCTTCTATTAGATGATGTTTGCAGGGTCCTTGGAACAATGCCTGGCAGAGAAAGTGCTCTCAGTCATCTCCAACCCCTGTCCGGGTCAGGTGAGCTGACGATGCCTGCACAAGGAGGAAAAGGAGACAGTCCTGAATTAGCAGGTGGGCAGAGGGAGAGCAGTAAATCACCCCCAGCACAATTCCTCGCCCTTGAGTGAAACAAACATTTCAAAACCGTCAGGGGAAGTCCAGTGGCAGATGCGATTGTGTTGTCAGTATCTTGGGTTTTCAGAGCCTGTGGCTTTGCCAGTGACCCAAACCCGACACAAACTCGGTTACTGGCTGTACTGGTTCCTCTACCTTCAAAATCCTATGAGCTTCAGGTACGGCTGGATCCAGGGGCTCAGGGACTCTGCTTCCCTAGGTGCCAGCCGCTTTCTCGGCAGGCTCCTCAGCGAGGTGGCAGAGATGGTCTGCACTTAGTGACCCCGGAGGAAAGGGCATGCGGTGTGCCCACAGCTCCACCAGCTGCCCTGGGTACACATTGTATTGGCCTGAGGACGCCAGGGGTCCATCCCTGAGCTGGCTGGAGAGTGTGGCGACAGAGGGGTTATACTCAGGGAAACCTGAGCTGTGTGCCCACATGGAGACAAGGGTCCACCTCACGTGGACGTCACTGTCTGTGGGGCACAGAGGGGTATCTGAGCAGGGACGTGGGGACGGAAGCTAGGGAGACAGAGCACCTGACGCCCCCACCACCATCATGACCAGGCCCAGCCCCGTGTCTGTTCAGGGCATCCTGATGCTGAGACGCCCAGACAGACGGACACAAGCAGTGATGGGTGCAGAGGGTCGGCCATCCTTTCTGCCCTGAGCTCAGAAACCTGGGCACCCCGGTGAGCCAATAACCTGTTTCCTGAGGCTGAATCTGTTGCTTCTGTAATGTGGGGCTCTGCTTTCATCCTGCCCAGAAATCTGGGGCAAAACAGCAGTGACTGCAAAGCCCAGAAGTTGGCAAGTGCTGGGGAGGGGCCCGCACTCTCTGCAGCCGCATCCTGCACCTGTGGCTGTTTTGCTTTTGTTTGCATGGGTCAGGGCCCACTTTGGATTCTTGGGAACCCATTGGGCGCACCAGAAGCCACGGCACTTGCAGGTGTCCCCACCCCTGAGTGACCTAAGTCTCAGCCACTCCGGAGCATTCAGATCTGGGCCCTGTGGCCTTTGGCACCAGAAGGTGCAAGCGTCTGTGGTCCAGAAGGTGGCTCTTCTCTCTTTAATAGCTCACAAGGGGAGGAGAAAGCGTGCTCCTCCTTTGGGAGAGGGTGGGAGCCTCAAGCACTTCATCAAGCCAGTGTGTGGGGGTCCATTTGACACGCAGGGCTGCGGGAAGCCGGTGCGTCTGTTCCTGTCATGAGCCCCTCTTCCAGCTGCATGACGGGGGCAGGTGCTGCACCCAGGGTCTTCCCTCCCAATGTCTCTGAGGCTGGGATCACACAACTGTGAGCTCTTCCTTGAGTTGCCATCCCCAGTGGGTGGCGCCCTATGCCCCAAATCACCGTAGACCTGACCTCCTCCTGGTGAGGGAGGCATCTCCTGGTTCCGTGACAGGTCCCCAGGCGAATAGCACATCCTGCCCTGTAGGACTTGGCCCTCATTTGTAACTGTCTGGTGCTGGTTATGACGAGAAAAGCTCTTTGTTAATTTAAAGTGTTAGTGCTGCCAAGAGAGAGAAAAGCTCTCTGCTCCGGCCCCTTGTATCTGACTCTTGAAAACATATTAACGTTGGACCCTGTGTTAATTTGGGGAACGCTGACTCAGCACCTCGTGGGTATTCCTGCCAAATGCAGGAGGGCCCTTGTCATTCCCTGCCGGTCACCCACCCCCTGCACTGGCTCCTTCCTGTCCTGCAACTGCAGGGTCCCTGGAGAGACACAAGCCATGCCCACAGCCCCGAGGGTGTCTCTGTACCCAAGGTCATCAGTTCTGATTCAACCCAGAGAGAAAGCCCACCACTGCTGAAGCCCGTCTTCTGGGGACCCTCTTGGGGCGCTGACCCAGAAAGTCTACGGGGAGGGTCAGGGGCCAGAAACTGCTGGGAACGGAGATGGTGGAAGAAACGGAGGGAAAGCATGTCGCCCAGGTTGCAGAATCTCTAAGGATGGCTCCCTGGCCCTGAAATGCCACCAAAATTGAGGCCACCCTGTGACCACCCTGTGGCGCAGACAGAAACGTGTTGATTTGCAGACCGTGTCTGTCTGAGCTTCTCCTAAAGCACGTGTGCTTCTCGGGACACGATGGGCAGAAGTAAACAAATTCGGGGGGAAAAGTACAGGCAGAGCAGCTGTGGGGGTGCCCCAGGCTCCCACCATCTCAGAGGGCCCATGTCTAAGCCGCCGGGCATCCTTCAGGGCAGAGCTGCCCTACACTGCAGAGTTAGCAGAAAGCTGGGTGCCTGGGGACGATGCTGGGGGACACTTTCCCCCAGACAGCAGACCATGTGCTCGCGATGTCAGGAGTGCCATGTGCTCTCAGGCTTGCAGACCGCTCACTCCCAGCCTTCGGTGGGCCAGACAAGGCCCACGAGTGAGCCCTTAGAAATGCCGTCAGCAGCTGGGCTTGGTCGCATCCCCCAGTACAAAAATGTCAGCCGTGCCTGACTCTTCATCACAGAGAAGCCTTGGCTAGAAGGGCTATGCCCTTGTCGGGGTGACTGCATGAGGGAGTGACTCTCAGAGCCTCTGCCCTCCGCTCCCCATCACGCCCAGTCTCTCTCAGGGCAGTGTCCCAGCCTGTGTGCAACAGCAGGTGTAGAGTTTTCAAATATCAAGGTGCGTGATCGCCCCAGATGTGCCCCCACTTCCAGGAACACGTCCCATGAGTTATTGCTCTGCCCAAAGTGACAGGAAAGCGGGAAGCGTCATTAATGAACGTCACGTCAGGACGGGCCACACCCCCTAGACACGCTCTCCATTATCCTGGCTGCTCTGGGGACTGCTCTCAGCCCAGTTGCTCCCTTGTAACAGATGGGGACATGCAACCACTTCAGGAGCCTGAGCCGGAATCCACTCAGAAAGCTGACCTGGCCCAGAGAAGGGAGCCCTCCTCCTGCTGGGCGGGGTGGGGGGAAGAGGAGGCCCTCCGTGTGCTGGGTGGGGTTGGGGGGGTGAGGCCCTCCATGTGCTGGGTGGGGTTGGGGGGGGTGAGGCCCTCCATGCACTGGGCTTGGTTCTGTGGACTAAGGTGTCAGATGCGGGGCGGCGTGAACAGGGCAGACATGTATTAGCCAGGCCTGTTCTTGCCACCACTATGTATCAATGTTACCTGTTATTTAGTCCAGGATAAAAATTAACTCTGAAAAGGTGATACCAGCGTTGAGAAATGTATGCAGCTCAGTGGACTGAGCATCCTCCTGTGGACTGAGAGGTCCTGGTTCGATTCCCCGTTAGGGCACATGCTCAGGTTGGGGGCTCGATCCCCAGTGGGGGGCGTGCAGGAGGCAGGTGATCAGTTTCCCTTACATCAATGTTTCTCTCTCTCTCTCTCTTCCTCTTTCGCTAAAAAATCAATACAAAATATGAAAACGGAAAAAAAGAAATGGATACAAATATTCCTTTAGGCCAAATTTGAAGGGGGTTGGGGTGTCAGAACTGTAATATCCTTAGCTCTAGCTCTTAAAAGAACAAAGAAAAACATGAGAATGTAAGTCTCCCCACAGTGCTGGTGATATTTAAATAAATTTACACGCATTCACGCAGGGAGAAGAAAAGGGTGTGGACTTTGCCTGTGTGCCCGGCTGTGCGCGGAGGAGTCCTGAACGGCGGCCCATCAAGGGCTCCGGGAAGCGCCGGGGAGTTAATAGACAGCTCCTTCCAGCGTCAGCGTTGTGAAGTGGGAGTTAATACATCCTCTGACATGTGTACTTGGTCATATTTAACTGGAGGGAACAAACAGGTCCCGTGGGCTCCCCTGGACTGTGCGTGTTATCTCTGAGGGTTGAAGGGTTAAATGCGTCAGTGACTAGGCAGATGGAGGAGAGAGTGTCCAGGCCTGGAGGGGGACTTTCTGCCCATGGGCTCCTGGAGGGACACATCTCACTGTCCTTCCCACCCAGGGAGTGCTGGGTGCCCGGTCACCCTTGGGAACTATTGTGCCCTCCCTGCGAGGGGGCATCTGAGCCTGGGCTCCCTGGAGCCAGGTCCCAGCCACACACCATGAGGAAAGACCTTGGGATGTAGACCATGGAAATGCTTTCCCTTGGGGTTCTGGGGCTCTCCAGGGACCTGTTCCTTCAGGACTCAGAGCAGCCACGATGCCGGGGTCTGGTCATCCTAATGTCGCCTTCTCTTCTATGGGTGTCCCATCACCCTCCCCGCTCTCCCACAGACACTGATTGCAGCCAGGGCCACGTCCCCTCAGTTCCTGTCCTCCTGGTGCCCTCGGTGCCTGGAATCCCCACCGCATCTCCGTGGAGATAAAGGGCCTGTGTGAAAGTGCTTTTTATGGTGTTGCAACAGCCTAGTAATTTCCGCTTTGCTTTTCTTCACCCCTAGTGCTGGCCCGAGGTGAGTGTCTAAGCCAGGAGCCGGGACTCCTGCAGAGTGCAGCATGGGGGTTCGTGGCTCTGCTGCTGTCCAGCCCCACGTCCCAGAGGAATTCACATCCTGCCTGGTCCTCTGGTTGAGCCTCAGGAAGTGAGGCTGGAATATCTCCTGCCTCCAGCGTCAGACTGAGGGCTGGGACCACAGCAGCGAACCGTGGGTCCTGGTACAGGTCATGCGCTGGGTGGTTGGAGCACCCCCCCCTACACACACACAGACTGCACCCTAAGCTCACCCAGCCCCACTCTCCCAGTCCTGCTAGTCCCCTCGGGCTAATGACAAAAACTGCCACCCACTCGCTGGCTTCTAACACCACCGTTTGTCTTCTCGCAGTTCCAGGGGGGTCACAAACCCGTCTCCCTGTGCCGACATGCAGGAGTCGCCGGCCGCTCGCTCCAGAGAGAATTCCTGCCGGCCACACTTGGCCCCACAAGAGTGACCCCGACAGCCGGGCCACCACCCTCTCCTCCTGCTGCTCTTCCCTGGCTGTTCCTGGGTGGTGGGACCTGGGGGGAACTCTGGGCCTCCTGCCTCTTCTCCCCGCAGGTCTATGACAGGTGCGACTACGTCTTCATCAACGGGAAGGAGATGAAGGGCAAGGTGGACGTGGTGGTGGACTTCACCTACCAGCACCTCCACAGCCCCCTGGAGATGACAGTGTGGGCGCCCCAGCTGCCGCTGCACATCGAGGTCTTGGATGCCGAGCTCAATCAGATCAAGGGCTGGAGGGTGCCCATTCTCTCCAACAAAAGGTGGGTGTGTCTGTCGGGATCCCCATGGGGCTGAGAGTGAAAGCGGACAGGGTGGGAGACCTGAGTCGGGGCTGCACCCCCAGGCTGGGCTGTCATTTATGCGCAGCCCTGCCATTAGCGCGAAGCACCGCCCTCCACAAGCAGCACAGCCCCGCCCTTTGTGCAGCCCCGCCCTTCGCGAAGCTCCACCTTCACGTGCCTCCTGACCATGACCCAAGTGAGAATGTACTAAACTGAACTGACCCTTTGCCAGCCCAGCCCAGGACAGCGAGGAAGAGGAAGATGAGGAGAGGCGGGTCGGGGCTGCGCCCTGCAGTACCAGCATGCTGTGGTGCGTTCTTGACTCAGTTTGTGGCCGAATCAGCTGACCCTGGGGGCCACCTGGCCCACCTGCTGGGATCCGACTGGCAGGTGGACATCACGGAGCTGGTGACGGACTTCCTGCAGGTGGAGGAGCCCCGGGTCGCCCAGCTGCAAGGGGGACAGGTCCTGGTGGGCGGGGAGCTCGGGATGACCACCATTCAGGTAAGCAGCCCGCAGAGGCAGCCATGCTCCTCTCTAAAGGATGGCCATGAGTCCCGTTTAAAGGGTCACTATGTCCAAAAAATGCATCTGGCTCGTAGACAGAGCATGCAGCCTTTGCGCTGACTGACACGCGGAAAGACACGTGCCTGTGCCTGGAACCCGAGGCCATGGTGAGCACTTGGCACTGACCAGTCAGTACTGAACAACGTGGTGCGCAGAGACGACACCATGGTCAGAAACCAGTGCTCAGAAACCAGTGCTTCGGAGGGGAGCAGGCCAGCTTCCCACATGTTAATGTGGACCGCGTCCTGGTGGGTCCCTGCTCCGGGGCCCCTGGTTCTTTTCTGTATTCATTCCACCAAATGCCCCTGGGTTATAAACCGTGGGCACTTTCCTCAGGGGACATGCATCGAGCCCCTGCCACTTGAATGTGGTCACCAGGCTGAGAACCCGAAGGTGGTGAATGAAGAGAAACACAAAGGTCTGATAACCAGTTCACAGAGGGCCATTGGGACCTCTTCATGTCACCGACAGGTGTGAGAGAGGCATCCATCTCTAACTAGCATGTTGAGACCCTTTTTCTGTGATGCTGGGAAGTTGTTTTTGTTTTTTTTTAATCCTCACCCGAGGATATTTTCCCATTCATCTTCAGACAGAGTGGGTGAGGGAGAAAGGGAGACATCAATGTGAGAGACACATCGACTGGTTGCCTCCCACACGACTGGCCCGGGACCGATCGCTAGAGGTGAGCCAGGCTGTAGACTTTGTGGAGAGAGTCAAGTCAGAACCCAAATGAGTGAAGATGTTCTTCCTCCCGGGCTGAGGGTGGCATTTGTTCCCCTGGTGGGGGAGGGTGCCAGGTCCCACCCGGTCCGCCCTTGACACCGTCCTGCCGTTATTTAAAAAATGCAGGGACTTTTCACAGGCAAGCTGCAGCTTTGGAAGAAGAGCGGGAAGACCGTGTGTTTGCTCCTGCAGGGGCGTCCTCTGCTGCTGGAGTCGCCGCCGGGACCCTGAGGGCTCTTCTCTGCCATGTCGGTTCTGTTTCCAGATCCTGTTGCCCTTGTCAGACGCCATCCTGACTGAAAGGACCATCACGGTGCTGGATGAGAAGGTCACCATCACGGACCTCGGGGTCCAGGTGATGATGGGGCTGTCACTCTCCTTGCAGCTCAGCCCAGGGAGCAATAGAGCCATCTTTGCCACAGCGGTGGCTCAGGAGCTGCTGCAAAAGCCCAAGCGGGTACTGAGGCTTGGACACCACAGGGTGGGTCGCATCAGGCAGGTCACACTATAGGTGAGGTCATACTCAGGTGAGGTCACAGTTCAGGTGAGGTCATACTCAGGTGAAGTCACAGCTCAGGTGAGGTCATACTCAGGTGAGGTCACAGTTCAGATAAGGTCATACCCAGGTAAGGTCACAGTTCAGATAAGGTCATACCCAGGTGAGGTCACACCCCAGGTGAGGTCACAATTCAGGTGAGGTCACACCTAGGTGAGGTCAGGATTCAGGTGAGGTCACAGCCAGGTGAGGTGGCACAGTGGACTGAGGTCACACATTAGATCAGGGTACCTGTCATGGAGACACTCAGGGCTTCCCCTGAAGTGTGGGATCGCACCCTGGGGGTGTTTCTCCATCCGGGACGGGCTCGGGGAGAGGGCGCTGCTCTGCCTCATGGGTCCCCGCTCCCCGCACGAGGCAGAAATGAGGTTCGCAGTGCGGGAAGGCCGCTCCCCGCCAGGCGCGTCCCCTTGGGCATCAGGCGCCAGCCCTGCCCAGTCACTTGCCCCAGCTGTCTGAGTGCAGGGCGTCCTGTGCCCTGGGCAGTGGGCTGGGCTGGGCAGGCCGACTGCATGCGTGTCCCAGCCTGCCACTTGGCCCTGTGAGGAAATAGGCGTCATCTGGGCTCAGAGGAGACTGGTGGCGTCTGCTTCCAGCCCGTGACTTCTCAGCTCGGCCAGGGTCTGGAGCGTAGTGACCTCAGTCCCCTCTCCATTTGGTCTGAAGCCAAGGGGGTTGTGTGTTGATACAGTGTGTCCCCAAAAGAGGGCACTGCTAACAGGGACGCCCTCACTCCTCAGAGGAGGATAAACGCTGTTTCTTGGAAGGAGCATGGAGATCTGGGTGAACCTTGCCAAGCACCCACCCAGTGGTCTCAGCCCTCCCGGGGGGCTGCTGGGAAGCCCCAGCCCACAGTGGGTGTTCCTGCCGCTGCCCTTGTCATCCACTTCCTGGAAGCTGTCCCCTCGGCGGGTATGGTACCCTTGGCCTCCAGGTCCCCCAGTTGGCAGGGCAAGTGGGGTGTGGTAGTCTCCTAATAGTGTGCAGTGGCCTATTTAGCCATATCTCTGAGCCCAGACTGTCTGCCCCGGTGCAGACCCACCTCGTGGAGCCAGGCGGGCCCAGGACAGCAGAGCCCGTGCCCCAGGTGCCTCATCCAGAGAGGGGCCCAGGACAGCAGAGCCAGCGTCCAAGGTGCCTCATCCAGAGAGGGGCCCAGGACAGCAGAGCCCATGCCCTGGGTGCCTCATCCAGATGGGAACCCAGGACGGCAGAGCTTGCACCTCGGGTGCCTGGTCCAGAGCAGAGCTGGTCTGCACAGCGAGGTGTCACCGAGCCCTGTCTGGAGCAGCTGCACATGACGCCGCCACCGCAGCTGTTTGTTCTGCTTGGGCCCCTTGAGCCGATGCCACCCACCAGTCGCATCCTGGGCCAGGAGTCATTCCTGGGCAGATGACCCTCTAGTGGCCACAGGCCCCCTCTTTTCAAGCTCGAGGACCAGGCAGATGGTGCTGTGGGGGTTCATCCTCGCCCCAGGCGGCCACTGGCAGCTCAGTGTCGGTTTCTTTGGGTCCCACAGCGTCACAAGCCTTCATGTGCTCTCACACTCCATGCTGCTCATATCTTGTTTCCACACATCCTAGGAGTGTGTCCTCTGTTGCCATGTGTGTCATTTCTCACCCTGTCTTCTTGGCTATGATGGGGTGCCCCCTGAACTTGGAACCCACATTGATGGATTTCCATTACTCAACAGGAAGTGGCCCTCAGTGGCTGGGTCCAGTTCAGCGACGGGTCTGTCACACTTTTGGACATTTACGACGGGGAAGCCTTTTCCTTGATGGCCACCTCCTTGGACGAGAAGGTGGTCTCTATCCACCAGGACCCCGAGTCTAAGTGGCCCATCATTGTCACTGAATCCAAGGGGCAGGGTGCTCTGGTGAAGATCGAAATGGTCATCAGTGAATCCTGCCAGAAGTCCAAGTAGAAGAGTGTGCTCCCTGTGGGAATGGCCACCGTGAAGGTGAAATTCGGCCAGAACGATGCCCACATCAACATTCGAAACAGTGGACACCCAGGGGCAGGTGCCCGCCTGGAGAGTGACAGCGGTGACAGGCGACCTGATGGGTCCTTGCAGGAGTGGAGTGGCCCTGAGGGACAGGCCCTCAGCAACTCTTCCATGGGCACCGTGAAGAGGAGAGTGGCCACAACAGAGCAGTCCACCTTCTGGAAGAGTCGCAACCAGGCAGGCCTCTCCGACAGGGTCAGCAGCCTGCAGACCACCCTCACCCTCCTCACCAGCTTCCCAGTGCTGGCAGACTTCCCCCGGAGCCACAGGGGTGCTGACGAGGGCAAGCTTGCCCGGGCCTCCAGAGGGCTGAGCGACCTGGAAGTGGGGATGTGTGCCCTGCTGGGTGTCTTCTGCCTGGCCATCATGGTCTTCCTCATAAACTGCGCAGCCTTCGCTGTGAAGTACAGGCGCAAACAGATGCCCTTGGAGGAGCAGGAGGGTCTGAGCCATTCCCACAACTGCGTGGGGCTGAGCCACAGGGCGGAGCTGCTGGAGAATCACATCCACTTCGAGTTGTCCTAGGGCAAGCGGGTCACCGCGGTGGACAGGGCCCTGGCCTTCCAGGAGAGTAAGTACCTGCTCGGTGCTGATGCCCAGAATGGCCCCAATGGGCTGGTGTTCGTTTCCTCCAGACCCCGGGCTGCCAATGGGAAAGGTCAGAAGAGCGAGCCGCCCACCTCCCCTACCTCCAAGAGGAATAGGGTGAAGTTCACCACCTTCACCACTGGCTCGGAGGACAGGGGCCCCGCCATGCACACTCTGGCGCTGGGCAGCCAGGAGGACCTGCGCTGGGTGTGCCTGGACCTGGACCCTGGGGCGTGCCAGAACCAGCACAGCTGCGTGGAGGGGCTCCGGGAAGACGCGTAAGCTCACACACGTGGACCGCAGTTCTCAACTTTGCGCCTTTAATTTGGGGGTGGGCGGCCACCATGCCCCCCAGAAGGAGTGGAATGACAAATGGAGACACAGGTGACATTCTCAAGAGAGTCCCAGAGAACAAGTCTGGTCGGCCGAGTCTGCATGGTGGCGCCCATCCCGACCGTTGGGGCGAGGTGTCCATCTCGCACAGTAAGATGCTTGAACCTTGAAGGGACGTGGGGGTGAAGCCCCGAGTGTCCAGGGAAGATTGGCCCCTCTTTCCTCAGAGCGTTGGTGTGACCCCCTTGGTATCATGGATGGAGGAGGAAGTAGACTGGGGCCAGCGGAGGGTGGGTGGGGCGGCTGTCAGCTCTGGGGTGTGACTGTTATTTCCCCCAATACCAGGCCAGAACTGGCGGCTCATCATAGACCCAGCAATCACCAGGGCGAGGGGCCCCGCACCTGTGTGACCTGCGCCCAGAACAGACGCACAGACAGACCCAGGGCCAGTCCAAGCATCCACCCGTGGCAGCGGGGGACTCGGGCCTAGAATTTCAGTCAGGTCCGAAGGGCTGAGCTTTTGTCCAGCAAGTGCGCTGCCTTCGGAATTTGCTCCCCCAGAGGCCGGCCTCTGCAGAGCTCAGGGCGCTATGGGCAGGGGGCCATCTCCAGCACTTGCAGAATCTCACCTGAGCCCTGTGTCGGTTCCCAGGCGAGGTCATGGAGAAGCCTCGCTGGGCCGCTGCACACACTGTCCACTGAAGAGGCTGGTTATTGAGGGGGACAGCAGTCACACGGATTTGACACTCACAGACACTCTGCCCTCACTTCTCTAGAAGGGAGGGGTGGTTTTGTGATGTCTGTGGACAGTGACATTGGTCTCCTGCCCAGGTCCGTAGGGACAGACACCGGGCAATCGTGCGGCACAGATGGTGCAGAGTGGGGACTGCAAGGTCGCCTTGGTGTGAGGCCAGGTCGGGGTGGAGGGTGGGGGATCCTTGCCAGGGGACCCTGGGAGCTCTGGGTCAGCAGCCCAGGGTCACGGCCCTCAGCACTCGCCCCCTCTGGTCGTGTAGTTTGCCGTCTCTCTTTCTTGAGTTTCCTCTTTCCCAGTTCCTCGTGGTCTCTGGGTCTCAGGGCTTCCCCCTCTCTCTGCGCCTCTGCATGTCCATTGCACTGTGGCTCTCGCTCTGTGTAACGAAATTCTCCTGAGGAAGCCTGTCAACCCCGCAGTTGCCACGGCGACACTCAGCGCCCTCTGCAGCCGAGCTGCTGTCCACGGGCCTTGAGACTGCTCTTCAGCTGCCAGCAGCCACCTGCTCTGTCCCCAAGCCGCCTGGGTGACTCTCGCCCCCTGCTTCTCTGGTTCTCCCTGCGGCCTGTTCCACTTCCTGCCGCAGCCCTGCCCCCACCACCAGGCAGCAGTGTATTGTGGGTCCTGAGGGTCTCATGTGCATTTATAAACCTCCAGCTGCACATACAGGGTTTGCCTTCAGCATTTTTATGGCCGTCCTGCCTTTACCTGGGGACCCTCTAAGGAGCTGGCATCAGTGACAGAGGGTGGTCCCCACACCGTGTCTTTGGCTGATGGAAATCCAGGTTCAAGGGCCCCAGCACGATGCAGTTTTGCGCCTATGCCCTGGACCGCGCTCTGCAGTGTGGCGGGATGACCAACCGCGTGGTGCTCCAGGCAGCTCCCCTTCAGGACCTGAGGGTGTGCCAGCTGAAGGCCTGCTGGAGGGTGGTGCGGGAGAGTCGTGGTGGGCACATCCCCAGTTTCTCGTGGGGCCGCATCCAGGAAAACGGCTCTGTCCTTTTTCTGGATCTCAGGCACCTCCGGGTGTCAGCCTGGGGAATGTTCCCGGACTCAGCGACTCTGCGCTGGTTCAAAAGGCCGATGTCCAGGTTCTGATGACACAGCCCAAGACAGCTCCAAGGAGCCAGGCGGGTGTGTGGACCCGCTCTGGGCACAGGCAGCAGCAGTCTGCCCAGTGGTGTCCCCTAAGCACCTGGCGAGCGGGAGGGCGCATGGCACACCTACACCCCCCACACCTTTCCTCGTACTGGTGGGGGAGACGACAGCAGAAACCATCATCCTCAGATCTCTGCCAGTTTCCTAAAGACAACAAAACAGGTTGTAGATCAAAGGTCCACAGTTAGCATGGTGCCCACTTCACCCGAAAGGAATCTGGATGTCCGTCTGCTCTTCAGAACTCAGCCCCACTGGCTAGATGGAGTCACACCCGGTTGTCCCTCAGTGGACACGCAGGTTTGCTGCCAGCACCACTGGGGGACTAGCCTTTTCCACGCGGCCACAGGCCCCTCCCCACCCAGGTTGTCTCCCTGACTAGAGTGCAAATCCCACTTTTATTAACAAAGGGAAATACTTCTCCCTGGTTGTGTTTCTCCGCCCAAAGTTGGGGACACAGACAGAGAGAGCTGTGTGTTCTCACAACAGTTAGAGGCTAGTCTGTTGCCCTGTGGAAGAGAGAATGTTCCTGCCTGTCTCCTTGGGAAATGCAGAATGTTGTTGTCTGAAGAACACGGTGTAAGGTGCCACAGCCGGTCATGTGATCAGTGTGCTCGGAACCAGGCCAAGAAATGACAGGAGAGGCTTAATGAACCATGTTTCAACAGGGTTCTTCTCACTATGAATAAAGCCAGCAATGCTGCTCAGTTTCTCTTACATCTGCCTGGTCTCATTTCTGCCACCGGCAGGGCCCCTCTAGCCAGTGAGGTACCCACCCATTACCTGAGACCAGACCCTGTGCCAGCAGGAAGCAGGGTCGCCAGCACCCCAGTGACAGCCACACCTCTCATTGCCCCGCACCAGAGCTACTGACACCCCAGGTCACTGCATTTTTTCTCAGACACCTTCTCTCCAGCTAGCGACAGAGTTGGCCTCCCCCATGTGGAGAGTAACACCCGGCAGCTCAGGAACCACAAGGAAAGAGACCAGATCTCTCCTGGTGGCTCCAACAAAAACCCAGGAACAAAGCCACGGACCTGAGTTGGTTGGTGCCTGTCCAGAGGAGTCACCAAATCCCTGGGGGGTAACCAAAACCTCTGGCAGCCAGATCCTGACCCTGCACCCACCTCCCTGGCCATGAGCTGTAGTCATCCCTCCAAACCACACAGGTGAGGGTGCAGGAGGGTAGCCCCATGGAAATGTGAGGAATGTCTCAGATTTGGATAGAAAACAGGAAAGATCAAGCAGCGTTAACCCAGCCCTGGAGGAAGGAGAGCGTGGGCATCCCTGGAGGCAGGGGCCAGGCCTGCGGGGTGCACTGAGGTGGGCAGGCGACCCCTCTGCCCTGCTTACACTCAGCACGTGTGAGCCTCGGGTGCCATTCGGGGGGTTGCGCGTGCGATGCGCTGGGTGGTGAGATGCCATCACCACCTCGATCGCTGGGTGGGTTCTTCCCAACACGGGAGACTTCTGTTTCCTCCCAACTTCAGAGATATGTGGAAATACACACAGGCTTTAGGAAGAATTCCCAGTTCATCTCAACGCTCCTTAAATACCAGACACAATCAATACGAGCAATTAAGGTTTCCCACGTGTGATGGGTAGTTGAACAGACAGTAGCCCGAGGCGTGTGCCCCAATGTAGACGGTGGTGAGGAGACTGCTCTGTTACCAGCAGTGACTGCCCATCCTGCAGCTGCCTCAGAACCGCCACAGAAGACAGGCCGTTCGAGACTCCGGTTGGTCGGAGCCCCTGATCTGCAGCCAAACTGTTGAAGGGACATCCGCAGAGGCTGAACAGGTCACACTGGAGGTTGAACCTTTTCTCCCGACTCCCAGGCCAGTGGCCGATGGGTAGGGAACATAGCATCCATAGCTGTTTCCTGGGAGCACCCCACATTCCTTGGGGATCACCTCCATTTGTTTTGCATTCCTGGTGGGACAGTGAAGTCTGGAGGTGACCCTGTGCCCTAGAAATCAGAGCTGGCCTGCAGAGCCTCCTGTCTGTGCCGGCCCCAGGCAGATGCATGGCCTCGGCCAGTATCTCCCACACAGGTCACCTAGGACAGGGAGGCAGATGGCCCACACCCAGCCCATCGGGGGCTGATGGCCAGTGGTTTCCTGCTGGGGACCCTTCTACAGCTCCTGATTCCAGTCTCCTGCCCTGCCCTCTGCCTGTTTCCAAACCCCAGTGATTCCGGGAGGTCCCCGTGGCCTTCCTGGAAGTTATGGCTCATGGTCCTTTTACTAAAAGGAAGAGAGGAGTGGATTCTGGGGACAGTGGCAATCCGCCCTGGGCCCTGACACACACCACCTCTCTGAAAGCCCACTGCATGGCATCTCCCAGAGAGGCAGAGCAAGGAAGGCCATGGGTCTGAGTCCCCCTGGCTGGATATACGTGGAGAGGTTCTCTGTGTGTAACATGCACACACACACAGTTGGTGTTCTGCCTCTGGGTTTTGCATCATGGATTCACCCCAGCATGGATTTGGAACATTCTGGGGCGGGGGGAATTTCAGTCAGTTTCAAAGAACAGATTTGTAGGCTCTGTGCCCTCAGCTAAGCCCACGAGAGTGACGTCCTGGGCACACTCAGCTGCTGCCTCCATGCACACAGGCCTCGTGCAGAGACCACAGCAGTTTATACAGGGGGAGGGACATTCATGGACTGGGCTGTCTGTGGGGGCCCTAGGGCCATTCCCCCAGATCCAGGGACAACTGTATACACACGTTCACATATGACCCGCACACATGTATATACATGCGCCCACGAGTCTACATAGATTTATTTTCTTTTACTTGTGCTCCGCAAAGACAGGGCACCATGTACATGTTGAGGCTGTAAGGAAATCACTGGGCACAGTCTCACCTTTCACGGGCAAAACCACAGCCTTCAGCGCTGTGACATCATCTGCAGGAACAGAACGAGGGTGCCAGGGTCGTGGGGTGAGGGCTGGGGCTGCTGCCGCCAAACCAACCTACAGAAGAAGCGATTCAAACCCAGAGCACCGGGGCTGTGGGTCCAATGGTCTCTGATTCAAA